AGCACTTGTCGCTGGTATTGTTAATACTAGCTCACATAATTTGAAGATTTGCGGGAAAACGCATGATAACTGAAGAGCATACATATATTGATGTAAGTCATACACACTATCTTTTGCCATATCTGGGTCCGAAAACATTACTAAAAGTTCACTCTTTAAGGCAACAAAGTCAAAAAATGCACCATAATTTTCTTTTAAACAGGAAAATGCTTTTTCAGGAAATGAGGTTCTATACATGGGGAAGTATCTGGCATCAAGAAGACTCAAGAAGAGGAGCGTAGCGTTCTCCGAAAATCTAACAGAGACATTCTGACACACGACATCAATAATTTCACAGAACAGCCGTTTATAGGAGTTTTTTCTTTCTTCTCCACTCATTGAGTCAATGCGAATTCTTTTGGGTCGAGTTGGGCCATTTGAATCGAAGACATTTTCCATTTCACTCCAAAGGTGGTCAAATCCTCCCCTTAATCTTTGCATGTGATGCTTAAATTCGTCTATTTTGGTATTGCAAAAAGCTATATCAGATCTCTTAGTTTGTAGGATTTTGAAAAGAGCGCCAGAATATGGAAAAATTGAAGAAAATATTTTCAGCATGAAATTGAAATCGAAATCCCTTAGAAGAGAGAGAAGTCCGCGTGCAGAAGAAATTGTTTCTACATCCCATTCTTCTGGTTCCTCTATTATAGACACAAGAAGATTCTCAATTCCTTCTCTGTATTCATGCACAGTTTCAGCAAGTCGGCTATGGTACTGCCATCGAGTAGGTGCGATAGAAGGAAATCTTTTCCTAAGGTGGGAATCCAATGCTTCAGTCCTTTTTGTGGACTTGGCAAAAAAAGTTCTAAAGCCAGAGAGAGTAGCAAAGAAGACCTTAACTTCCTTAATAAAACTAGCAGATTGTGCTAAGACTAAATTTAGTCTATGCGCATAACAATGAACAAAAATGGCGTTTGGGTACTGCTCGCGAATTTTTGCTTGTACTCCTGCATGTTGTGATGCCATAACAGCAGCACCATCATAAGTCTGTGCAATGAGTTTGGGACCACATTCAAAATCATTTAAAATCTCAAGAGCATGGTTAAACAAGGAATTGGCAGAACGGTCAGAGCTCACGTCTGTAAAACGCAGAAACCTTTCTTCAACATTGCCATCAGCTGTCACATATCGAAGAACTGAAGCCAACTGACACTTATTCATCACATCTGAAGTCTCATCAAGAATTAAAGAAACATAATTAGCCTTTGAAATTTCCTTTTTAATTTCCATTGTCATCAATTCAGATACAGAATGTATCAGTTCATTTTGGATGTCAGGAGAAGAACCACGGAAAGCAGTTGAAGACTCTAAATGATTGTGTAAATCAGAATCATAACGTGCCAGCATATTTAAAACCTCAATGTAATTTCCTCTATTAACAGATGCCACGCTTTCATCATGTCCCCGAAATGCTAAACCCTGAGAGCCCAGAAAACAAACTGCTGTAATTAATTGGCCTACAAATTTCCTGTTCTGTTTCACAGCTTCATTGTGTTTTTCAATTGACTGTTTGTATTGGCTGCTTAGAGAAAATTCAATCCTTCTGTTTTTACCAAACAGTGTAATTTCTTTAAGACAAGCAATGTGATTAACTGAATGCCCATGTCTTTTGCCAGATTTGTAAATGTTGTTAATGTCATTGTAACCAGCACTGTTAAACACGTGTTTTTCTTTAGAAAACAAGAGACAAGGCCAACAGAATAATTTGTTTAGTTTATCACACCCACACAACCATGGAATAGCCTCATATAAACTGGTATTGAAATGCCGTGTGCAAGATTTCACTTTTGTATGTAAAGTTAGATTAGGCTTAGGTGCACCTTCTTCTATTATCTTAAGTTTCTCATTATAACTGAGTGAACTGAACGGTGTTTGAAGAAGTTTTTCAATCACACAGTGGTTATCACATGAAAGTGTCATGTTTCTATTTTTAACTTAACAGCAATCACAAAAACACTGGTCATAAAGTTATAATTACGCAAAGCAAAACAAATTCTGTATCGAGAAAAATACAGAATAATAACTAAACTGACTTGTGCATAAATGAGACGCTAACACCTTCTGAAAACTAATACACACGCTTAACTGCCAGGTCACAGACTATTCTACTGCACTCTACTGCGAACTGCAATGCCTTACATCTGGCAACATTGCTGGAAGCACGAAGCTAGTAGCATACCATAACGGATAGCTCACTTAGAGACAATATTGACATTGGTCAGCCAGTTAACACAGGGGAGGGTGGAAGCGAAAGACCTGCTGCTTCCGCGCGTGTTGCAATTTGAAGTACCCTGCATTTTTGAAGAAAATAACTGATCTATCCTGATAAATTGTTTATTTAACACATTAAAACTTGCAATATTCTCATTATATGTAATATATGTTCTCAGATTAATTAATATTTTGAAGTATGAAATATTTTTTCGAAATTGAAAAATTGCCAGAAATGTTCTTGGTTGCTTTTCTATAGGGAAGCAATGCTTCCACCACATCCATGTACCCTACGCCCCTGGTTATAATCATGAACTCATTGGAGACATAGTATTTCTGGGTAACATCGGTCTGCTCCGTGGGGTCAGCAAGGGAGAAGGCAAGCCTGACACCTGCCCCCCTTGCATACTTTTTGAGAAAATCAAATTTGAAGTAGAAAAAGAAATATACCATATCTCATGAATCTGGTTACAGATGATAACATTTAAATAATTTTAACTTTATGCAAACAAAGACCTGAGACTATTAATTTATATTTTTACATGTATTTCCTTTGCTTCCTCTTTCTTTAACTTTTTCAAAGTTGACAACAGTCTCATTTTTAACTATTTTATACAGTCTCCTACCCATTACTATGCTCTGTTAGTCTGAGATTATTAAGCCCTAGGTAAGGTGAATATATATTTGAATAAGTAATGTAATTTGTTTTGTAAATTCAGCCTCTATATGTATAAAACACATTTTACGAAGTTATGGTCAATGTAGGAGCTGAACTACAAAATAATGTAGTCACTAAATGGGAACATATTCCCTGTTAAATATAACACTTATGTAAATTATATATCTAAGAGAAAATTCACTATGACTAAAGATCAGGATTTTGTTCTTAATTTGTCTTAATTATCTCAAGTTACAATTTCAATTTCAAAGTCATACTGAAATTAAATAACTGTACTGTTTCAAATGTATTTTCAGTCACATAATACATTATTCTAATTATACATGGTGAGTCTTAATTATGACCATATATTTATATGAATGTTTCTGCTTTCCTGTAAATATAGGACACAATGTTTATCATGAAGGTATGTAATTAGGCTTACTCAGTATATTGCAAGATTTCATAATGAAACAGATAAAACAAATTCAATTGGCAGTAATCATGTATACAGATTTTACATAAAATTAATTGTAAAAAATCCGTAATATTAATTTATCAGTTGCCTCAAAGCACTTAATCTATTTGGACTGTAGGATTTAATATTTTTAAACAGATCACCATCCTTCAAACGATATTGAAAATGGTGAGAATTCTCACCATAAGAAAAGAATTTAATCAATAATGTGTTGCAATGACAAAGCATACAACACTATCATGAAAGTATATCAGTATAATTGTGTGCATGAGAGGAGAATCTGCAGAATAACTGTAAGGACTCTAAGACAGCCCTTAGGTACTAAAATAAAATAAAAGGGAAACATCCAAGGAAATCAAAATCTGTTAAATACTTAATCAGACTATAATAAAATATAAATTGATACTTAATTAATATTTAATGATAAGTAATAATGCACAGTATGATGCAACATTGTATCATTATTCGATGTTACAGTTCTTTGGCTTATTGTTATGTGCACCCACTTCATTATATGAAAAAAGTCTGTTTCAGTTTATGAGGTCCAGACTCAAAAATGGCAAAATTCAGATGATAATGATCCATAAAACCCTAATTCAGGATATAATTGAGATTCTTTTTTCATATGGTACTGAATGATGAACATATTATTGGCTTTTCATATTATAATTTCTGTTTAAAACTGTAAATGCAAAATAAAGTATTATTTACAGTAACAATAAACAAAATTTACAAATAAAGGTATTCTTGTTGGGGTCTGTAACTCCAACAAGCTGAGTAGCCAGATCTTGAAACGTTCCTAGTTTCAACATTTATAAATCTTGCATTAACAACTGCAAAATTTATTCTTCTTGTAGAAGTTTTACTTTTATACTATGTGGGCAACTGTGTCAGTCTGGCACTGGCTTCTCACCACGGGGCCTCAGGTTCGGTCCTGCGGTTACTGTGTGTTACAAAATGGCACTGGAGCAGGTTTTCTTCCACTAATTATCAATCCACCATTGCCACATACTCAAATATCTCAGCTCCTAAGGAGTGAGATAACCCTGACCAAGGAGCACATTATCACATCCTCGACCTTTGGAAATGGGGCTTTCTTATTTAAGTTTGTTATTTAAAGATGCTCACAGTATCAAGACTATACAGGATCAGTGATGTAGGATGATTAATGAATATGGAACAATTACGGAATGAGAACTGGCAGCTGATGCTGAAGTACTCAGAGAAAACCTGCACCTGTGCTACTTTGTCCACAACAAATCCCACATGACCTAACTTGGGGTCGAGCCTGGGGCTTCATCTCTAATCCAGCACTTGAAAATTACCTTTTTGTTTTTTTATAAGTAAGAATATGTGTTACTGAGCAATCGATGAAAAATATTTTGCAATATACTCAAGATCTCAAAGAAGGAATACATGTATACTACACAGGATTACTGACCTATTGGACAGTGGACTTTCACAACTGACAAGAAATGTATTAAGCTTTTGAAGTACCGGTAAATTGTAATTAATGAAGAATTTGCTACGATTGTATAGGGATTAAATTTCTACACAGTGGACTTAAAAGTTATTTTTGTTATTTAAAAAATAATGAATATTAATAAATCGTACTTGACCAGCAACGGCCGTTATGGATAATCAGAGTTCGCCGTCCTAATGGACCAGAACGAACAGAAGAGTCCAGTGGACCTATCACACACAGAGGAAAGAGCAGTCAGCGAAAGAAGGTCAATACCAGATGCATTAGTTTCAACACAAGGGACTTCATTTCTGAAACAAACTTCAAACCGTTTTCAATGTTAATCCTATACATCTACGAGTATCTAGTAATAGGCAGGACAATATTAAAATGGATCTTAAGCCAATAGGATATGAGTTTATGGTCGAGTACTGGGACAAGTACTCTAGTGCTCTAGTGAACACGATAATAAAACTTCGTGTTCTAGGAAATGTAATTTCTTGAATATCTGGAAAATTATTAGCTTCTCAAGATGGACTCTAGTCCATAGAGATAAATGTCCAATAATTAACGAGCAGTGTAAACTTCCCCTAGTAACAAAGTTAAATATCTGTCTGAGAAGAGCTATTGAATGTATATGACTTTTGTTAACGTAAAGTTGTCCCTGTGCTTAATTAATTGAGCACTATGCGGTGAAGACGTATGGGGGAGTGCATTTCTAAATCCACGTATTCTTGACCTTGGAACTAGTCTGAGGTGACTGGTCAGTTTCAAGCCTTTGTCCCTTTACCTCCAGGGAAAGGGCCCCCGGAACCCATTGGATGAGGCCCCAGATTCGGTCTGGATGCTGTGTAGAAGAGAAAAATCTTGAACTACCGGGAATCTAACCCGGGAAGTCCAGCCCGTAGCCCATAGCCCGTCGCTATACTGACTGAGCTATTCCGGACCCTCTTGTAACTTGTATAAACCCTATGTATGCACAAATGTCTATGTATAAGAGCTTTGATTTTACTAACAGCCTTACGAAGCCTTCAAATTATTTCATGCACACTCTTTCTCGGGGAATGTTGTATAAAGTGTAAAGTAAATGTGTTCATTATGAAGCTACCATGAGTGTTCCTTTCCTCAGAGTAGACACTGCCCCATCTCTGACCCAGGTTTCGTGGAAAATAAGTCCAAGAAGTATCGATTTATTAAGCTCATTCCATTAATGGTAAAAAAAAGTAAAACTATCCCTGTAACAGGCCATGAAGGCCAATAGGGCTGTGAGACGTCGTGGCTTCCATATTTTCTAGAAAATCGACTCACAGATGGCGTAAAGTTGTCAGCCTTACCCACTAGTCGCCCTTTACCACCAGGAAGATTCCTGGTATTCATTTGTGTTAGGGGCTGAGTCGACCCCAGGGCCATAGTGCGGCTGGGAGGGTTAGGTAAATTTAAAAATCCAATGACCCTATCGGGACTCGAACCCGCGACCTTCCGGCTTGTAGCAGAGTGCCTCAACTAACTACGCTACCGCGTGTCCCCATTTTAATAGTGTGCAATGCAATTTTTATTACATGACGATACCCGAGAGCTAGAATATATTTTAGTTTATTCACTGGAGAATCTGACGAATTTGTCATTAGGTTTCAGGTTAACAACTGCCAGAATTTCGAAATAATGCATGAAGAAGATCTAAAAGTTTGTGACAATGGTAAATTGCTACAAGTATTATGTTTTTTGACATTATCCATTGTGTTGTCTGTTTTTTAAAAGAAGTCCTGTTTCTTTTCCAAAACCCAACGTTTCGGAGACTGGATTCTGTCCCCATCCTCAGGCAAAACCTACTCAGTTGGGTCCAGTAGACAGAGCTAGCCCCTGTTTCCAGAGATACACAGGACTTTTTTAAAAAATCCTTATTGCACATACAGCAAAGATAATAACAAAGATACTTAAAAGAAGAATTAAAAGGAAAATAGAGGATGTACATGGAGAAGATCAGTTTGGATTTAGAAGAGGAAAAGGAACCAGGGATGCAATTGGGATGATGAGAATTATAGCAGAACGAAGTTTGGAGATAGATGAAGAACTGTGTGTTTGCTTCATAGCCTGGCAGAAGGCATTTGACCGGGTAAACTTGACCAAATTAATGCAGATCCTAAAAGAAACAGGTATCGATTGGCGTGAAAGAAGATTGATCAGCAAATTGTACATGGATCAGAAAGTTAGAGTACGACTGGACAGAGGGGAGACAGGAAGTGTGCAGATTGGAAGAGGAGTTCGACAAGGATGCTGTTTATCACCAATTCTATTCAACTTGTACAGCGAATGCCTTACCAAGGAAGCTCTGGATGGGCTCGG